CTTCTGACCCTTCTGTCAAGAAAGAGAGTTGGATGAGGGAAACTGAGTGTGCTGTTCAAAGGGGAAGCCCCTCCTGCCTGGTCCCCTCTTCCCTGCTCTGCTGGTCCTCCTTGATGAATCCTAGCTTATGAAGTGCTCCAGCCACTTAGGAGAGGAGGAAAGTGATTATTAAGAACCAACCTTTTGAGGAAGAGGAAGGTAGACAACTTGGACTAAGCCCAGGTGACCCCTGACCCCACTAATTTGGTCTCTGGTATAGTTACTGCAATAGAAAATAGAGCAAAATGAGCCAGAGAGAGAGAGAGAGATGGCTCAGCAATTAAGAGCATTGATTGCTCTTCCAGAGGACCTGGATTTGAGTCCCACCTCCTACATATTGTCCACAACCATCTTTAACTCCAATTCCAGGACATCTCACACCCTCTTCTGATCTCCTTGGGCACAAGATACACACATACATGTAGGCAAAATACTCATATGCATAGAATTTTAAAAATAGTAATAATTAAAAATTAAGAGAAGAAAGCAGAACAAGACATTAAGGATAGTGGCAGCAGGGGGACAAAGAAGGGAGTGGAGCAATGCTACTAGCATTGCTGCCAGGGATGGCCTTGTCCTCCATGCCTCCATTTGTACCTTCCTGTCAAATGTGAAGCTCTCTGTCTCTCAGAGCACCAGAGACACATAAGATCCATGCCTTTGGGGTAAGCAAGCATGCAAGCAAGCAAGCAATCATACACCTAAAGACTTTGTTAGCATTTTCACACAGTATGACAGTGCCCACCAGTTCTTATGCTAGATGCTTTCTGGCTATAGAAACTCTTAAAATACCCATTTCTAGCTCTCGAAGGATGCTTCAAGGACCAAATATATGTGTTCACATATTATTTGGGGGAGTTCAGATGCAGGTGGCCTTCTTTGGACCATTAAAAATCTCATGAACTCCAAGTTGGGGGATCTCTGATTATCACCATTTCCCTTGGCAGAGATAGCAATCGGGCAACACTCTTAGATCTTATGTATTCTTTCTAGGACCAACAGGTGGTCAGGAGAATATATAGGTGGTAAGTTAATACCATATCGTACTATTTATCTAGTACCCTGTGTACTAGATAGCACGTGTATGTAAAATGGCACAATAGTCTTGTCAAGTAGTTGTCTAGTCTCTGCTTAAACACTTACAGTGACAGGGAACCTTTTATCTTTCCCTTGACACACTTAAATGTGTCACAGTCATATTAAGGTACACTTAGAACTTGACCTATCACACTAGATTATTCTGTTATATAATGCATTCCTAAGTTCTTTCTCATCCAGAATTTCTAGCATATGTATGCATATATACAGAGGCATGTCTACCTAATATAAAAGGAATCTATGTCTCTGCCCATTTATTCAATTGCTCATTCATTCCTTCAATTAATTTGTGTTCATTCAAGATTTCTCAAGTGCCTGTTTTGCTCCAGGAATATCCTAACCATGAGGAAGGGATGCAGAGATGACTAAAACATGGGTTCCTTATCTGGTTTCATCGAAAACCAGAGCTGCAGAGCTTATTTTCTAGAATTCTCTTTAGGTTGGTGTAACATAACTCACTGTTTTAGCACTTTGGGGATATGGTGTTAATCTGCTGTTCATTGACATATTATCATGCATCGTAAATTCCCATTTCCAGAATTTATCACTCCTTTTGAAAATGAGAGTAGCATGGATTACTAGTCTCTGTTCACATGCCCCACTGATTGTTGCCCTGAGTTAATCACCAAGAGCAAGCCCCTTACTGTGGCATTCTAGTCTTGACTCTTCTACGTCTATGCAAAGGCAAGAGGGACTGACTTGGCATTCAAGATCTTTCCCTGTCTCACTGCATTTTTCCCTGCATATCCTGCTCTGCAATATGGTGCCTATGGTCTTATCAAGCTGGAGCTAATGGGCCCATTTAAGTAACAGTAGCCCTGCTTACAGAGAAATGTCACTCTCCTGTTGGTTACAGAAGATTTCATGTGTCTCGAAAGATGTCACAAGCTGTGGCTGCGTATGAAAAGTTCTAGGTAGCTGAACAATGATAGCTAGCATAGGTAAATTTTAGGTTTTAAAACCAAAATGCAGGGCCAGTGAGATGGCTCAGTGGTAAAGGTACTTGCTGTCCAGCCTGACAACTTTATTTCAATCACTAGTTCCCACATAGAAGAATTAGAGAACTATCTCCTGCAAATTGTCCTCTGATTTTCACACATGGCAGGCACATGCATGCCTACAGACAGACAGACAGGCACACATACATACTAAATAAATAATTAGTAAAAGTGAATTAAAAAATAAAATCAAGGTGCAGCCAGGTATGTGCCTATAATTTCAGTACTTGTGAAGTAGAGAAAAGAGGATCAAATGTTCAAAGTCATCCTCAGCCATAAACCAAATTCAGGGCAGGCCTGGGCTGTATAATGCCCCATCTCAAAAAAACAAAACGAAACAAAACAAAAACACCTAACAACCAAAAACCACAACAAAACTGCAATTATCAAGGTGTAAAACTGGGTGTGGTGTTATACATCTGTATTAGCACTCAAGAGGCTAAAGCAGGAAGATCACTTAATCAAAGGAGTCTGAGGCCAGGTGAACAACATAGCAAAGCCCTGTCTCAAACACACACACACACACACACACACACACAAGCCCATCAAGGTCTGATGCTCATTACTGACATTGATAATCCAGGTAAGAGAGTACACACCAGTGAAGTCAGCACTCAGGAGGCTGATGCAGAAGGATTGTGAATCTGAGGCCAGCCTAGGACACATACCAAGTTTCTAGGCTAGCCTGGGATATGCAGAGATGCCCTGTCTCAAAAGTACACAATTGTTTTTAATGTAGGTGGGTTTTATTCTTGAATTTTACAGATAGTGTTTTCCATAGTCCAACATAAACCACAGAACTTTGTTTTCCTTAATCCTGTTGGTTCTTCAAAGCAGACATTATCCTTATTCGAAAGCACCCTGGTAGGCCTAAACCACCAAAATGTTCATCTTGGAGTTTCCACCAATCAGTATGCTAGTTAATGATCATAAATGTCATGAAATAACTTGCTTTTTCTCAGCACCAAGAATTGTACTATGAATGGGAGGTAAGCACTCTTCCACTGAGCTATATCCCTGCCCTCAGTTTAGCTCTCACCACAGTCTTATTTGGTATTTTAGGTATGTATCTGCATGTGTATGGCTTTTCTATTGGGTACTTAAATTTTGGTGAGATTTTATAGCTCTGTTGGATTTGCTCTCTCTCTCTCTCTCTCTCTCTCTGTGTGTGTGTGTGGGGGGGTGCTAGAGACAGTGTTAGGGATGGAATCTGGGACATGGCAGATGCTAAGAAGCACTTCACCATTGATCTATACCTGTACTACTGGTGTTACTTTGCAAGTGAGCTGGTATCTAATCAGTCTGACTCACATGTTCAATAAATTAGAAAAATAGCTGATGCCTATATGATGGACAGAATGAGAAAGAACTAGCCTAGATTCCCAAACCTTTGCCCTCCAGGCCTTCATACTGTTTGTGTGCTCAACAAGACTTTTATCCCTTTGATTACAATCTCTTCTACCCCTACTTCTGGAAATAGCAGTCAAGAGTCCAGGAATTTGAAGACAACATACCTTAGGACTGATCTGGGAAAGAGAGCTCTGGGGTTTGCCTCCTTCTTTCTCTGGACTGACACTATCCCACCAATTCACTTATGAACAATTTGGTTGTAAAAACAAAATCTCTTTAGGGTTAGTTCTCAAATTGTAGCATTCTATGCTTAGAAGTTCCTTGGAAAGCTTGATACCATGCAAGGTGTCTGGCCCTGTCCCAAATTTCTGCTGATTTCTATCCCTGGGTAGTTTTCAGGTGATACTGCCAGGCAAGAGACCATGTGCTCTGAGCACTGCTGCTCTAAAGGGATGTGCTGACAGTTTCGTAGAATCTTTCGGAAGGAGACCTGTCAAGAGATGCCAGTAAGATATCTTCTTGAAGGGAAGTTGACTGGCTCAAAAACTTCTCTCCTTGCTTATTACTATTTTAAATTGCTTTACCTTCACATCTGAAGTGAAGTAAAAGTCCACCAATTAAGTCTCCACCCTTGGGGCTTAGAGCCCTCATCAAGTCCCTAAGAAGGATTCTTCTATGCCGAGCCCTAAATGTTTACAATGGGAGCTTCAGTAAGAGCTATTTGTTGAGGCCTTCCTTCCTAAAGTCCCAATAAGTCATAGGACAAGAAAGGAGTGCTAGGTCTTAAAGGAGGCCCCTAGATAATGCTGCCACGCTAGATGATAAAGTCACCCAGCCCAAGCTACATGAGCCTGCCATCGGGAATTCTAATGACCTGAAGAGAAAGAAGTTGGCCAGCCTTTTCATTCTACTGAATGCGCAAATCAATAGAATTAGACACTGGTTTATAATATAAAGACAATTTTATTGCCAATAAAAGCCTTTAATAACTCATTTTTCCTGTTTCAGTAGGACCTTATTCTTTCTGATGAAAATCCAGTCATAGCATCTCTCATTAAAAATAAAATTATTTTGAAATAAATAAATATATAAAATAAATAGGATATACATTTCATAAATAGTCTGTCCTTATGCACAGTATCCATGCTTACATTTTAATATCGTTTCCTTACGACCTACCCCATATCTCCCACTTCGGTGGCAGGAAAACTGCATGTCACAATGAATGAGAGATCTGCAAAGCCAGGGCAGGGATGGCTTGCAGCAGGGCTGGAGCCCCTAGCCTTTTCCAAATGACACTTTCCCAGAGCTCTGTAGGTAGCATCTGTGGCAGATTCCTTGGTCTTTCATTTGCACCCCATCTCAAAGTATCTGGGTAGATTGGGAGGCGAGACAGCCTTGGCCCTTAGTAGGAGGCCCCTGTTCTTTATCATGCCACCTCATGGGAAAGAACATGAATAAAGAAAAAGTATATACAAGATTCCCTTGGACCCACCCCTCCCCCCATGTCCCTCCCCAAAATAACCAACGTTGATATACACTTTGAACAAGGGGACAGCTGGGTCAAGTTGACTGGTAAGTGCTTCTCTGTTATCTAATTGACAGGAAGGAAGGATTGAAAAGCTACTTTTGAGTATAGTGTTTGCAGAGCCAACCATGGCCATAGAGTACACGGGTCACAGAGGTGGCACCAGAGGGCCATTACCTATAGCGGAAGAGGTCTCTGGACATGGAGGGCAACTTAGAGGGATCTACTGGCCTGGGTAAAAAGTGAGTGAATTTCTGGTGTCGTTTAGTCCTGTATCCCTCCCGGGGTGAGCCGTCTTTATTCAGGGCCACATAATACTGTCTTTCCGAGTCCGAGTGTTTGTACAAGGTGGAGGCATAGGTGTTGTACCAGTTTTCTTCAAATTGTTCCCGGAAAACACATTCACGGGTGAGTTTCTTCTGTGAGGGTGAGAAAATAAAGCAGAGCCCATTATATGACTATCCCTCCCATCCCAGTTTGCTGGTGGAGAAACTCTGAAATAGCAACAGCACATTGAAATTATAAAATTTCAGTCCTGTCTTCTTGTGTGACCAAGGGGGCGTCTTTCTCCCAAGCAGCACAACCCCCCCCCTCCCCGATTGTATGTTCTTCATCCTCCTTCACGGGCCACACAAAAATGTTTTGGGTATGAATTTTCCTGAAGGGAAGGAGGAGTTGGCCTTGGATGGCTCTTTAAACCCCAGAGTTTCAATTATGGCCTTCCAATGCCCCTCTGGGTTCCACCAAGCTCACTTCCTACTTAGGGCTAATAATGTTTGAATGCACTGAGATTACAGTCACCCACATCAACTGGCAGGCAAAGGCCATGGGTCTATATAAAGCTGCATGGGAGGTGAGCTGTGATCTTTCCTAATGAGCAGCCTGTCAGTTGGAAAGCTCAGAAAAGATCTCCTTGAAAAGCTCCTCCAATCTGGCTACTTCAAGCTGGCAGCTTCTAAGTTTACTGCTTCTGGCCCTTCTCATACATGATCGGGCCACCATACTGTTTGTTGGGGAGCCCGATACCGAGTGCTGGGGACAGGCCTATCTCCTAGGTGTCAGAGAAAAATGTGTTCTGATTTCATGGGGTGTAGCCAGCCAGAAAGCATGCTATGTGAGTCAAAAAGTCTGAGCCAGAATACTGGGATTCCCTGAAAGGGTTAAGGTCAGCAAAGTCACTTACCATGCCCCAGTGCTGGGCTAGCTTCCAGAACACGGAGATGTATTGCAGCCAGCCCATTCCCAGCTAGGGGTTGGGGCTGTCAACAGTCCCTAGAACACTCATTCTTCATTTGTTGGTGTTATTTGGCCTTTGGGGTTCAGCTGAAGCAATCGGGGAATCGGGCTGTGTTGTTAACTTCAGAATTCTTACTCTTTCACTGTGTGTTATTTTGTGCCCACTCATCAGCTACTGCTCTGGGTACCCATTAAAACTAAGATGTGCTCTTTAGAAGTGTTAATGTCCCAAAGCCTGAGCGTCTACTGACAAAGCAGCATGGCTTCCTGGTATCATAACACTGGAAAGCCCTCTAATGGAAAAGGTGAAAGCAAATGTATCACAGAAAACATTGTTTGGATGGAGGGCTGAATGAATGAAGGTATTAGGGAGCAAGGCCCTGAGCAGCCAGGAACAAGATGCCAATCCTTTACAGTCACAAAAGGGCTTTCAAGTGCTAGATGAACAATTTTATCCTTTGCCTTAGGCTGTCCAAACACTGGTGGTAAGAGCCTCTGAAAAATAGAAAAGCTGAAACTTACTGATCCATATAGCTCTCCTCGTTCATTCATTCCTAGGTATAGGCCAGAGTCCACTCCCCGGATGCTGATCAGCCCCACAGCCAAGCTGATAAATTCCAGAATTCCTGGAACAAAAAAATAGAACAGCATTCTGTTACTAACAGGGAACTAGGAAAAAGCTGTTCAGGTGACAAGATGTACTAGTCATTTACCCCCACTATAGGCAGCCCTGGGTCTCCATGGAGAATCATCTTGATGAACCTGTGTTCTGCAGCAAGAAATGAAAACCTCAGAAAAAAGTGTTCAATCTCTCCAAGCCTCAGCTTTCCCATGTGTAAAATGGGGAAACAATCCTTTCCTCCACTTAAAACTGTGAGTTTCTTTTTTCTTTTGCCACACTAGGGTTGGAACTTGGGGCATGCTAGGAAAGAACCCCATCACTAGGCTACACCCCCAGGCCTCTTAGGGATGCTAGGTGAAGAAACCATGGGAAGTCTTTCTAACAATTGCTCCATAATTACAGCATCAGTGTAGTGGAGCGCGAACCACACTTTCAAGAAACGGCAAAGCAGCGCCCTCAATGCCAAGCTGCCCTGTTCCTCCCTGACATCCATTTGCACTCCCTTGCTGTCCTCTAAGCTGAATGTATTTTTCACACTCTCAGTATTCATGTCCTTAAAAACCACATCAGGCTGTCAACTGCCTGGAGCTGACTCTAACGAATGCCATACAGGCCATGCACTAAGTTTGTTCACCCTGTTTATAGCAGGAGGGAAAAGTTGGCCTGCAAGCATTGTTAGCTTGTTCAGCCCCAAACTGACAAGCCTGTCAGTGTCCTGCATCTCTTGAGAATTTAAAGTTGAGCCATAGCTGAGTTGGCAGGTAGCATTGGACTCCAAACTGATTTGGGATGTTGCAACTTCAAGGGGAAAGGGAAGAAATCAGAAATGTCCTTTTAACTGATGAGGTTAGAGGTGAAGGTTTGAAATGTTTTCATTTACCTCCGGAGAATACAAAATCAATTATGAATAGTGGGACGGGACACAGAAACTAAGTCAAAATAGTACTGAAGACTCCATAATTTTGTTCTGAAACAGTACATCTATTACCTTTTTGTTGTGAGCCTAGCCTTTAATGGTTGAGTCATCTCTCCAGCTAGGTGAAGATGTTAACAGTCAACTAGATTCTTCTTCCTCCTCTCCTTCTGTTTATTTGGTTTGTTTTATTGAGACAGGGTTTCTCTGGATTGCTTTGGAGCCCATAATGGAACTCACTTTGTAGACCAGGCTGGCCTTGAACTCACAGAGATCTGCCTGCCTCTGCTTCCAGAGGGCTGTGACTAAAGACGTGCGCCACCGTCACCTGGCTATATTCTTCTTTGATATTCCTCTCTCTAACCACATTTTCAGCAGAGGCCAAGACCTCCACATAATAGTCTGAAAGCATACACTAAGCTCACACACCTAGCTGTCCTTCATGCCCAACATACAATTATTAAGGGTAATATTTTGAATATTCTACATAGAAGATAGAGCTGATCCCACAAAGTAAGAAATTTGAGGCTGTTGAGATGGCTCAGAGGGTAGTAAAAATGCTTGCTGCCGTGTCTGATCATTTGAGTTTGATCCCTGGGACCCACAGTAAGGAATTGACTCCAGCAAGTTGTCCTCTGACCTTCATTGTGTGCTATGACACATCTCTCTCTCTCTCTCTCTCTCTCTCCTTCCCTCTCCCTCTCTCCCTCCCTCCTTCACCCCCTCTCACACAAAATATATACATAAATGTAATAGAAAAGTTCTTTTAATGAGAAAGTAGCTGGCAATGTGTCACAGGCTAACTTTCTGTCTCTGTATCCCAAGTGCTAAAGTAAAAACTTAGAAACACTTCATTCTGCAATCAGGTTGAAAACTCTAGTGAGAAGTTTTCTATGAAGCTCTGGTGGTGAGGCTGGCAGTGTAGGTAGTCAATCATGGTATCTTTGGGGGCTTGTGATTATATAACTCTTTCTGATCCATTTGAAGGATCTACAGTTCTGCCACCAGTCTATGGAACACTTGAGGGCTGGTCTTTTGCTTTTCCCATTCAAATCTTCTGAATCTTATCTTTATTCTGATTGATAGTAATTTTGAAAAAGTTGTTTATTGTTGTTGTTGGTGTGTGTGTACCATGTCGGGCATACACGTGTGGAGATCAGAAGACAATTTAGGGAAATCACGTCTCTCTTTCTATCATGTGTTCCAGGAACTGACCTCTAGTCCTCAGGCATGCACAGCAAGTCTGGCTTCAGACCCCTGATTCTTAGTAGCTCTTATAGCACAGTGCAGATGGTGTCAGGAAGATGATGCAATATGCCATAAGGAAGGAAGGGGCAGACAGTGGTGATGGAGGCTAACCAACCATTGACTTAATGAACACACATCTTTGATTGATCTGAAGAAGGTTCTGCCCTACTAAACATTTTAAAAAACAACTCATAAGAGGACACAGGAGCATGGTTTCCCCCCAGTCCAGGGGGATGGGATACTCAAGATCTAAAGAGGTTGGAAAATGGGCTGGCTCCAACAGAATAAACATAATTATAGCCATTAGAAAGTATTGTACCTTTCCCCAAAAACCAGCTTCACAAGAAGTTCATGTTTGGGGATTTGTTGAGGGAGAATGAGTCTCACGTGTACACAGCTAACTTCACTCCTTAGTTCATGGTCCCTTACCACAGTTATATTGTTTGAGGGCTTTTCTATCACCTGTCTCCCTCTTTATATCTCCATATCCTACCCTCATACACCTCCCACTTCAGAACATAACTTAGGGCCTTGTACATGCCAGGAGTAATCTACCACTATCTACCTAGCCCATGTGTATTTTCTTGAGAGTGTGCACTTTTGTATTTCTGTGCACTTAATTTTTTTCTTTTTGGTTTGGGTGTTGTATGTATTTTAATTATATATAAGTTTGTCTGCCTCTACAGTGAGGGAGTGTGGCCCAGTGAAACTTAAATAGTAATGGCTTCTGGGATTTCATTGGGCAGTTAACTCATTATGATGGTAATTAGCAGGATTACTGAAAAGCTAATGTAGGGTTGACAAGTGGCTCAGCAGGTAAAGGCACCTGCTTTCAAAGCTGCCCACTTGAATTAAATTCAGGGAACTCACATAGTAGAAGTGGAGAACTTCCCCAAGCTGTCCTTTTGACCTCCACACGTGCTGGGCCGCTGTGGGTGGTAGACATGCCTGGCCTAACACCCCTCAAACCATATCCTCTCTCTCTCTCTCTCTCTCTCTCTCTCTCTCTCTCTCTCTCTCTCACACACACACACACACACACACACACACACACACATTATCTCTCTCACAATACACTAAGGAAATAAAACAGAATATTTTTTTAAGTTAAGTTAGGACTGGCAAGAGGGTTCAGTGAATAAAAGCAATGGCTGCCTAGCCTCCAACCTGAGTTTGATCCCTGGGACTCACATGGCAGAAGCAGAGAACTGACTTGCGGAAGTTGTCCTCTGACTTCCACACATGCACTTGTGCCTCTCCTTCCTCCCCAACCCACACAGGGAAAAATAAAGTTTCCTAAAGCCAATGTAAAGCAGATTACATAAAAAGGAAACATTATCTCTGTACTGCTAATACATGGGGGTCTGAGGCAGGAAGATAAGCAACTCAAGGCCAGCCTGTGCTACACAGGGAGACTTGTCTGGAAAACACAAAATTGAAACAAAAGAACAAACACTGGGTAAATTGATTCATGCCTGTGATCCCAGGAACTAGAAGGCTGAAAGGTGAGGGTCCCAAGTTTGAAGCCAGCCTGGGCTACATAGTAAAACACTGTCTTAGATCATTTAAATTTTTGTTTTGTTTTTGAGACATGGTCTCATGTAGTTCAGAATGGCCTTGAAATTGGACTTTCTATGCAGCTAAGGGTGACCTTGAACTCCTGATCCTCTTGTTCTCCTAAATATTGGGATTGCAGACTATGCACCTTGATGCCTTTTTAACAATTAAAAATAGATTAGAACCTAGTGCAAAATAGAAAAAAAAAGTGGGGGTAAGCTGTATTCAGAGATCTAGTTATTAACATTAGAGAATGGGACTGCTCTACCACTCTGCCTTGTCCTGGCAGGATCACACTGCGGTTCTGTGTCTGCTTCTAGTGTGTCTAGAGAGGGTTGTAGAAAACAGAAGCATGCTCAAAGTAGAGTGGCTTATCTGGCAAGGAGATCCCAAGTCCTGCTTTGACTCTGCTCCGGGTAACTCTGAGGGACACCAATCCTTGCTACTAAAGATCATTGTTTTGCTAAGGCAGCTGCTTACCTCTGAGCCTCCAGTCACAGCAGTTGCCCCTGTCTCTAAGTATCCCATGGAGCAGACAACCCTGAGCTCAGTAAGTAGCAGAGGGCAGCCTGTGATCTCACTTCCAGAGACCTGGTGTGAGAACAAATCATGAAACCCAAGAGGTGTGGCCATTTGAGTCACCACAGTTTTTTCTCCAACTCTCTGTGAACCCTGATGCCAAAGGACAGATCATACAGGATGTCACTTGGGTTGTGTCCAGTAACAGGGGTCTCTAACAGCTGGAATCATCCCTGCCCAGCTGTCTTTGGGCATCATTTGCCTTTGCCAACTTTCCTATTAGTTGGATTCAGACTGTGGGAACTCAGTGGCACATGATGATGGAACAGATATTTCTAAACCCTTCTCCTGAATCCCAGCCAGCATGAAAGGGGAGAGAAAACAAGCCATTTTCATATTTTCCCAGCTACAGCTGGACAGGGGTGTTAACAGCAAAGTGTTGAGGCAAAGTATTAAGTAGACAAAGTTTGTCATCAGTTCTCACCCCTTCAAGGCCCAGGACCTCCATCTCTTCTGCCTCATCTTGACCTGCCCACCTCATGCTCTGGCATTTTCTCGACAGTTTCCAGACTCTTCTCTTCTTACACCTCTCTCCCTAGGGCCTCAATCAAAACGGATCTGTCCTGGGCCCCACTGTTTCAGAACCTAGCTAGATGACTGGCTAATGTGTCATTTAATCTGGTTCCTTCAGCCATCCTGTCAGACCATCGGGGCCAAGACAGTGCTGCCCTGGCCCTTTGCCAAACAAGAACCAGATCGCTCAAAACCCAAAGCAGCTGCAGCAGCCTGCTCCGTCCCACCTGGCAGGAGGCCTCTCCTGCAGTCTAGCTCCCAAGTCCTGCTCTGTCAGTCCACAGGTGCCCCTCCGGAATGTCAGGCTCCCTGTGAACCTCATGTAAATGCCACCAGCCAGGCGGGGACTGAAACACTCCTGGCTACTGACTGCAGATGGAGAGCTGGGAGCATGTGCGGTGCCAACAGGTTATTATTTGGAGTCGGGGCTGCACTTGGGCTCAGCCTGACTTGTTTAGAACACATGGATTCCAGGGTAATCCTTGGGGGCCCTGCTCTCCAATTACAACAAATAGCTATTTACTTTACATGGCCTTCGGAGACTCCCTCCTCCCTCCAAGCAGAAATCTATAATATTTTATATCTTAAGTCTGGCCTACTTTACCCTGATGGAATGTTGACTGCTAAAGCACTTATGGAATGTTAAAGTTTCGATTTATTGAATACTCTGGCTGATTAACTCAAATGTGGAGGGCGGAGAGTGTGAGCAAACTCAAACAGCACCTTGTCCTGTGCCAAAAGCTAAACTGAGTTCCAGTGTGTTTAGAAGTCGGCAAGGGGAGGTTCCGAAGAGACAGCTCTGACCAGCTATCATTTCCTTTACAAGAAATACACGAAACTGCCAAGAAATCAGGAAAGGAGGGAAGGGAAAAGGTGATGTGGGGATGGTCTCAGGAACCTTGTTTTTTCTAAAAGGCCAAACCCAAACCAAAGCAGGCAGTTAAGCAGCAGCGCAAACATCCTGGGCCAGCTTTACTTCCTTTGGTTTCTCCTTAAACTTAACACCCTTAGAAGGTCTGGGAGATGAAAAGAAATCAAGATGTGTCTTTAGGGAGGCAATTAAAGACCACTTATCCCAAGAGCCTATTACTGATTTATGTTGACCTTGTAGATTACTGGGCTCAGCCCAGGCACAGAGTCAGACAAACATTTCTAGCAGCTGGGAGCAGTGCACAAGTTCACGGCTTTCATGGCCCCCGCCCCACATTTCACCATCATTTCATGACTTTGTTTTTATACATACACACATAAATGCACATGCATATATGTGCTTCTCTTATATATGAACCAGTCTAATATCTTTAGGCCATTTCGGGGAACCTCTGCATTCAGGATGGGAGCCCCATTCCTTATGAAGAGGAACAAAAGGGGACTGCAAAATCACAAGTGATGGAAGGGAAAGAAGCCAAGTGAACACTCCCTCTCCTCCCACCCCACCTCATCACCCTTTGAGGACCTGCTGCAAGTTTATACAGACACCTGCACCCCTCCATTACCCCTCCCAACCTACTGTACTCCAGCTCTGTTTGAGTGCATTTTTCCAAGATGACATAGACCTCATTAGGGTTCCTGCCTGCTCCCAGCAAGGAAGACCAACCCTGGTCCTAGTTGTTTGCTGGGCTTGGCCTTAAGCTGGCCCTTGTCTGCCCCCTCCCCTGAACCCATTTTCTTTCCTTCCCCCCCCTTTTTTAATTTTTAAAAAACGGAGCACTCCAGTTGCAGCTCTAGAAAAGCATGTAAAATGGAAAGATGGGAAAGATGCGGGGGGGGGGGGCGGGCGGGGGAAATGAAACATGTCGGCTTGAGGGTAGGCGTAGAAAGTGCCCTTCTTGCTTTACAAGGACCTTGGAAGGAAGCAAAGGACTTTGAGAGATGGAGGAAGAAAAAGGGTAACTGTCACAGCACCTGTTTGATGGCTTAATAGAGACTAGGAAATTGAAAATAAAAATGGCAGATTATTGAAGAGGGAACACGTTTGCTTAGAAACCTGAAGATTTTTGTCGCAGACCAAGGTTTATATTAATCATGTAATTAGTTCTGTATGGAGGCAGGCAGCTGGATGTTCTGAACACTCTGTATCCGGGCAGGCAGAGGCAACCCTGCCTGGGGATTAGACATTTCCTGTCCTGGGCCCAGGGGACACCTGTTTCTGGGGCTGGCAGTGGGCTCAGGACAGTTTCCTCACATAGACAAGGAGTTAGTTCTGGGCAAAAGATGCCCAAGACTCGGTCCTTATGCGATGGGTACCGCGAGCTTTCCCTAAATTCCCAGATTAGCCCCTACCCTGGGCAGAACCACCCCGAGGATGGCCAGTGCCATGGCTGCCGGGTCCCGTCAGATAAAAGTGGTCCGGGTGCGGGCCGCCAGCCACCACGCCCGAGGCTGGTGAAGGCTCCTGCTCTGGGTGATGAGCTGCACCCTCGAGGCTCCACCAGCCGCAGTCCCCTTGCCTCCTAGGCAAGAACTCCCACTCCTCTCCTGGCACCACCTGCTTCCATCCGAGGCCCGACATTGGGCTCTCACAAGGAACCCTAGGTCCCCGTGGAGGGAGGGTGGAGCGGGTGGGAGAGGCCGCTCCGCAAGGCGCCTCCGCCCCCTCCGGGGAACGTCGCGGGGCGCAGGAGACCCCGGGTCGCCGCGAAGCTTAGGGTCCTGCCACCACGTCCCGCCCCGACGGGCCCGGACGGCACCCAGCCCGGGAAGGCTCCACTGGCCCCTGCGCGACAGCCCCGCGCCGTCGGCTCCCCCGAATGCGGTCCACCCGCCTCCCCCTCCTCCCGGCCGCGTCCTCACCGAAGCGGCTGTGGTCGTGGCGGGTGCCGTGCACGGTGCCGTTGGGGAAGATTTCTAGGTGGAAGCCTGTGCGGCAGTAGAGCTGGCGGCGCCGCAGGATACCCTTCAGGTGGGCGAAGTCTGTGGGCGAGCCGCGCTGCAGCTTCCCCTCGATCTGGCCCAGGCGCTCGTTCAGGAAACCCGGGGAGTCAGCTAAGGGCACGTTCCCCAGAGACGAGGAGAAGCCGTGCAGGTCCCAGTCCAAGGAGGCAAAGACGCCCCCCACCTCCGCCATGGCGGGGCTGGCTGCAGCGCGGGCCGAGCCGAGCCGGGGCCGCGGGGCGCGAACTGCCTCTCCCCGCGGCGGGCGCGGGCGGGTCGGCGGCGCTCGCTCGCTGCTAGGCTCCGTGCTCTGCCCAGCTGCAGCACACGTCTGTTCGCGTCCAAGGAACTTCTTAGCGGCGGGGAGCTTGGGGCAGCGCGCTCCTGACCTTGCTCTCAGTTAAAGTGAGGCTTCCCCTCCGCATCCATCTCTCCTGGCCTCTCATAGCTGGCTTCCTGGAGCTATCAGATGCAAACGGCACTTTATATACGTACCCACTCCCCTTCCATTGACATATTGGATATTTAAATACAAGCCACACCTCACTGGCATCCCCTCAGAGATTGGTGTGTGGGTTCTTTCCTTTTTTCCCCCCCTTCTCGTATCCATTTGGCTCTTTTTGGGAGAGGGGGGTGGAGGGGGGAGCGAGCGAGCTTCACTCCCTCTTTTATTATGAAAAAAAATGGCAGGAAAAAGCTACACATTGCAGTGAGGCATAACTGCTTTTGGCAGGTTTTCTTAAACTGCTGATGAAATAACGGAGCCCAGTACGTGGAGGCCATTGGCGCCCATGGCCACGCAGGCCGGTTCCGCGGGGGTCTGCCTGTTGGTCTATTGCAAGGGCCATCCCCACCTCCCATGCATCCTCTGATTGCTCCCCTCTGGAAAGTGCCTGAGACCGGGGCTCTGGAAGGGCGTCCTGGAGCCCAGCCGCTGAGCCCCTCTTCTTTGGCCCATCAGAGGCTGCGGGAGGGGTGTCTGGCCCGGGACAGAGGCGCTCCGGTTCCTTTGTTCCACTGTCCCCTAGTCCCACTCCCCACCTGTAGGGCCACAGGGGGCTGAGGAAGCGAATAAAGATCCTGGAACAGTAAAGACTGAGAGGTGGTGAAGGTCCCCGCAGACACCAAAGGGGGGTGCTTTTTGGGAGGAGCGGGAAACCCCAGAGGGGAAAGAAGACTTTTAAAAAGAGACGCCGTGGTTTAGGCATAGAAAGTGATCTTTTTGAAAAATGATCTCCATGGCTTTCTGGGCTCACTTTTACAAGGCTCAGGAGGGCAAGCTCCATGAGAGGCCATTGGAAGCCTAGTGGGGGCTTCCCCCCACCTCTTTGCTTGTTGCAGACAGGTGTTTCCTCGTTCTGTCCTGTGCCCTGTTCCAAGATACTCTATCAGGAAGAGCAGCAGTCGAGGTGGGAACTGGCGGTAGCCAGGACGACAGGCTGGGTGGAGAGGACCTGGCGAGCAGGTGTCTCTGCCGCAAGCCCCAGCTCTTCTGCCCCGCACCTGAACCCCACCGTCCCTCTGGGGCTCTGGCGCTCAGCCTCCTTCTTGCCTATTAAATGGCGTTGTTGCTTGCAGTTTTCACACGCAGCAGGCGCTGGCCGCCTTCCCAGGTTCCAGTAGTGACTGCACCCCCAATCCTACCCTTCCGCGCCTTTGCTGCGCCTCCTGCTGGAGACCCCGCCGAGCTGCAAGTTCAAATTCAGGGTTAACCATAAAATGAGTAAACAAGATTCCCCACAACTCAGTGCAATTCGAGTCCCCACTCTTAAGCTCCCATGCTCCTTCTGTTCACTTCTTAGTTTGAAACCAAAAACTTAGCAATTCTTAGTTTGGGACAACATTGTGGCTTGGCCCTGTTGTGCCTCTTTAGCTTAGAGGGAACCTCTAGGGCCAAGCACAATGCCTGAGATATGTAGGTTATTCAAAAGTAATATTATGCACTCAGTAACAGAGTTGCAAGTTATCACCCAGTCGTAGTGAACCCACAAATGCAAAAGGTGGATTCCAGAGGCTGGAGAGATGGCTCAGTGCTGAAGAGCGAATATTTCCCTTCTAGAGGACTCAAGTTCTGTCCCTGCCACACACATTGGCTTCTATATGCCTGCAGCTCTAGCACCAGAGGTTCCGATGCCCTCTTCTGGTGCCCACAGGCACCCACACACATGTGCACATGCACACACATGTATACATACTTTTTAAAAATTGAACAGATCTTTAAAAGTGTGGAGTTCATATTAGAATACGTATAAAAGAAACTATAGGCTGTTTGGATTACTTTAAATGTATCCCAAGTAAGAGCTTGGTGTGGTGGTACCCACCTGTAATTCAACCCTTGCGGGCTTTAGAGTGACGCCAGCATGAGATGCATAGCAAGAATCTGTCTCAAATGAAGGAATGAACAAACAAGAAATTATCTAAAGTGGTAAACACAGTAACTCACACTTGCAGTCTTAAGAGTTTTCAGGTGGAGGCAGGAGGATCAGGAGTTCAAGGCTAGATTGGACCTCTTGAGTTCCTGTCCCAACAACAACAAAACAAAAGTTTATGGTGATATGCAGATGGATGAAACAGAGAAAGAGAGAGAGGGGGGGGAGAGAGCTGTTCTAGGTTGGGGTCCTGGACCCACTTCCAAAAAAGAAGAAAAATAGTAACAAAGAAAATGGAGCAATTTTAATTATTAAAAACTTATTCTTGAAGATTTAATGAGTGTCAAATGAAAAGTATATGAAAGAATTTCAATAAGCATACACTATAAAGGATGTAGATATTTATGATGAAATAAGTCATATATTTTAAATGTATTTTTCTTTTATCAAGCATAGATTCCTTTCTTTGATAATATATCCTAATTATAGTTTCCCCTTTCTCTGCTCCTCCCAGTTCCTCCTCCCCTTTGCTCCTCTCTGGATCCACTCCCTTTTTGTCTATCATTAAAAATTAACAGGCTACCAAGAGCTAACTACCAAACATGATAAAATATGATAAGATGAAGCAAAAGCTATCATATCTAAGTTAGATATGTTAACCTAACACAGGGGAAAAAGTCCCAAGAGCAGGCACAAGAGTCAGAGAGCCACATGTTCTTATAGTCAGGAGTCCCATAAAAATACCAAGCTAATAGCTATAACATAGATGCAGAGGGCCTTGTGTAGACACATGCAGGCCCCGTGCTTGCTGCTTCAGTCTCTGTTCTAATATATACCTTGTTTAGTTGATTCAAAGGGTCCTGTTCTCTTGGTGTCCTTTATTCCCTGTGGATCTTACATTCTTTCTGCCCCTTCTCCATGGGATTCTCTGAGATTTGAAGGGAGGGATTTGAATGGAGACCTCCCATTTAGACTCTCTCCATCCATGTAATCTCTGGCTATGGATCTCTGTATCCATTCCCATCTGCTGCTGGAGGAAGCCTCTCTGATGATGACTGAATATATACTCATATAGCAGAATATTATTAGGTATTATTTTATTGATCTTTTTCTAGTAGCATTTGCCATAAGTCTCTAAGCTATCTATTTTATGGTTCTTGATCACACAAGCAGTGTCAGGTATGGGTTCCTTCTCATTGAGTGGGCCTTGGGTCAAATCAAACATTAATTGGCAATTGCCACAAGTTCTGTGCCACCATTACCTTAGTGTATTGTGTAGGAAAGACAGATTGTAGGTCAATCAAAGTTTTTGTGGCTGTGTTGATGTCCACATTTCTCTTTTGGTAGCCTGCAGAGTAACCTCCTGAACCAAAGGGACTAGAATCTAGGGACAAGAGTTCCATGTAGGCACCAGCTTGACCTCTCCATGTTTAATGAGTTATTACATGTTGTCCTCAGCAGTGGGGCCCTGCTGTCAGTTTGCAGAGAGAAACCTTCTGTCTTAACAACACTCTGGGTTGTTTGGGGATTTTCATGGGACCACCTTGGTCAACAACTAAATTGAATTTGACCTAGTACTGATACAGGAAGCTTTACCTGGCTACAAGAGATGTTCAGTTGAGATTCCATATTCCCCATTACTAGGAGTCCTAATTAGGATCCCCCCAGGAAGTTTCCACTGCATTAGACTTCAACACCACCCCAAATGTCCACACAATTCCAGCCATCTCTCCCTGCACTCTCTCCCTCCACCCCATCTTTCCACCACCTGACCCCTCATTCCTGTCCTGGACCAATCCCCAGTCCACTAGAAAATCTATTCTATTTTCCACTTCCAGGGAGATCTCTGAGTTCCCCCTAGACCCTCCTCTTTAGCTAACCTCTCTGGGTCTACAGATTGTAGCTTGGTTATCATTTAGTCAATGGCTAATATCCCCTTGTAAGTGAATAAGTACCATATTTATTTTTCTGTGTTTGGATTACCTCACTCAGGATGATTTTTTTTCTAGTTTAGTCCATTTGCCTACAAATTTCATGATGTCATTTTTTAAAATTAACTGAGTGATACTCCAATGTGTAAATGTACCACAATTTGTTTATCTATTCTTCTGTTGAGGGACATCTAGATAGCTCCCAGTTTCTGGCTATTATAAATAAAGCTGCTATGAACCTAGTTGAGCAAGAATCTTTGTGGTATGATGAAAAGTCATTTAGGTATATGTCCAAGAGTGGTACAGCTGGATATTGAGGCAGATCAATTCCCAGTTTTCTGAGGAACCACCACAATTGATTTTGAAAGTGGCTGTACAAGTTTGCACTCCCACCAGCAATGGAGCAGTGTTCCCCTTGCTCCATATCCTACCAACATGAGCTGTCACTTGTGTTTTTGATTTTAGCCATTCTGGTATTAGCCATTCTGATATTAGCCCTCTATCAGATGTGGGGTTGGTGAAGATCTTGTCCCATTCTGTAGGCTGCAGCTTTGTCTGATTAACAGTGTCCTTTGCCTAACAGAAGCATTTCAGTTTCATGAGATCCCATTTATTAATTGCTGATCTTAGTGCCTGCACTATCAGTGTTCTGTTTAGGAAATTGTCTCCTGTGCCAATGAGTTCAACTTTTGCTCCTATCAGGTTCAGTGCATCTGGTTTTATATTGAGGTCTTTGATGCACTTGAACTTGAATTTTGTGCAGGGTGATAGATATGGATCTATTTACATTCTTCTATGTGTAGTGATCCAGTTTGATGAGCACTATTTGTTTAAGATGTTTTCTTTCTTTTTTCTTTTTCAGTGTGAATTTCCGGCTATTTTTTAAAATAAGA